GTATACTACTTAGAGGAGAGCAGAGAAAATCAGATAATAAAAAAAAAAAAAAAAAAAAATGTCCCGAAGTCAGAGAGGAAAAAAATTAGTTCTCAAACTCCAATTATGAGTGAAATCAAGCGTCACACTATTTTAAAGGTGAAATAAAACTTTTACAACCAATATAGTACATTTATGTATGTGAAAAAAAAAAAAAAAAAAAAAAAAAACGAGATGGAGGGAGAGAGAGAGCGAGGAGGCGTGAAACTATACACGCTAAACATTCCGCTCTCTAATTACACCCGAAGCGTATTATGTAGGTATATGGATATCCATGTATGTATAATTGTATATATATACAAGAAGTACCAAGAGCAAAGGGAGAAGAAGGGAAGTTTATCGCAAGTAACACAGAGGTATATACACATAATACGCACTACTAATACTTACACTTCTCTCATACCCATTCCACCCAACAACAGCAGCAATAGAGCATAACGTGGTGGTAGTCAGGTAAGCACAAGAAAGAAAGATGTATATGTAAGAAAGAACGAAAGAAAGACTAGAAAAGAGAGGAAGCAAGAATAGAAAAAAAAGAGAAACGAGCACACATATTAATGTATACACGTACACATGTGAACATTGTGAACCATCCAAATGATCCAAGTATATATCCAACAACCATCTCTCTGCTCCTGCTACCAATACCTATGCTCAGATACCTATGTGTAGTAAAATGTATATAGGTAGCACAGAACCACCATGCGAAACGCATTCCATCATCCCATCCATTCGTTTTATATAAAAAAAGTATCTATGGGTAAAACCCCATAGACATGTATCTCCACATACATCTGCAACTCCCATGTTCTTCTCATTATCAATAATATTAATTATATTCTTATCCACTTGTTACAAACAGTTGTAAGCATTTTTGTTGGGCTGAGGCCTGCTGTCCTTTAAGGTTGCTAAGGACACAAGTGTAAGGAATAAAAGCTTAAAAAAGAAGGAATATAACAACGCACACGCGTATTTAAACGATGGTAAGTATGAGCCTCGATCATGTGTTGCTCCAAAAGTCAATAATAAAAATGATATATGGGACATGGCAACTTATGACGTTGCTATGGATCGCATACCCCATGAAGATGATGTTATTAATGTAACATGTACAGAACAGGAAATTGAAAGAAATGTAGGTGATGTAAGTTACACACCTGTAGGTGCGGCAAGCCTGATGACTTCCGTAAACAACAACAACGAGATGCCGAGCAGGAGCAGACCAGCTCGGGCCGCCATAAATCCGGGCTCATTCGCGTGGCCGCGGATTTTACTCCGCGACCACGACGATGACGAAGTTAGCACGCAATTTTATCATTTGGAGTCCCATGCACGTCGAGGAGACGACGTCGTCGTCATCGTCGGTGTCGTTTTTGTTGAACAATGTCCCCCCGCGATTAAGTACGAGAGTGCCTTCAACGAGAACAACAATAACAACAATACAACTGCACTGTTACACCATTGCCACCACCACCGCCCGCAGTACCCGCACTGACACTGTATGTACTTTTGCAAATCGTGATGATACGCGCTGAAGACACTTGTTATTTAAAGACTCTCTGCTGTTGATTAGGTTTCGAGGAGCAGAGTACATTACCGGACGCGGAAGACGACGTACTTAGTACCTCCTAGCAGCAGCAGTTCTACCTTTTCGCCCTCGCAGCGGCCGCATGTTGTGGACTCCGTGGACTGACGCTCCGCTAAGCTAGCGCCGCAGTACCGCTAAGCCGCTAACTAGTTTGTGTGTGTAGCTGTGTTTTTTACTATTATTTGTACGGCGCTCGTATAATATATATATATATATAGAAAAAAAGACATTATTGTAGGCTGATGATTAATTTGCAGTACCTACTTAGTAATGTTTCCATTGGATAATATATCTGACGTATGGGGACTGTTTTCGTATGGATCATGATTATGTTGATAAAACAGAAATCCCGTCTGTATGGGCGCAGAGAGCAAAAGCTGCTCCGAACTCCGAAATATACTTTAGGACAATAAAACGAGGAGAATCCTTGTTGACTAAGGCTAAAAATGACTAAATAACGTGGAAATGGTTGCATTATCATTTATAAAGAAGTACATTGAAAAGTATACTTCTTAACAATTTACAACGTACATCACGATAGCGTATACAACAAGAGATAAGTTTATTTATACGCAGGGTTAATTGAGCCCGTTTGTATTTTGCGCTACAGAAATCTCCTTGAGGAATCCTGACTTGTGATTAATTGATTATTAGACTGAACTAGTTCTACAGGACAATACTACTACTTCAATAACTAACTAAACCATAATTAATTTTTAATTCCTCGACCAGAAATCGTAGCGTGGCAGTCCTCTCTATGTAAGTATAGGTATTGGCTTTCGGTACTAGGAAAAGGAAAAACCTTATAGATAGACCAAGAGCTGAGGCCCGAGAGAGGTCAAAAATTAAAACCAGCCGCAATTTCCACCAGAATTGAGAAACTTGATGACTCGTAAAGATCCAAGATATTATTTTAGTTTTAATTCGTTCTGGTGAAGAGATTTGTTGGTATTTAAGTACCCGATCAGAAACCTTAGTGGGGGGCTGATGGGGTCCACACTAGGCTGCCAAATTAACCACATGTTGTGGTCCTAGAATGGCATCGTCACGGGGCATAGATGTGGTCCTCTGTAGTGTGCCTCAATAGGAAAGAAAGTTTACCTAACCCTTTGTATTTTTTGTGTAGGTATTTAACACAATTATCATACGAGCATGTGCCTGATTTACCATGCGTGCTATGCAGATTATGGAGTTTATCGACCGTGCAGATAAGGAAGAATTAAAATACGGTTACATATATATTTAACCCAAACGCGGAAATATACAATGTTTTCAACAGCTAGTTTTGGCTAGATTAAGTACTGGGGCAGCCTACGATGGACCCTCAAGTCCTCAACTCGCCCCGTGACGCACCTAATAGGGCACCAATTAGGCAGCCTAAGGAGGACCCCATTAACTAAGGTGGCAAACCCATTAAATTTCTGATCGGGTAGTGCCATGTGATTAATTTTACAAACCAGCCACAATCTGATTCAATGGACAGAAACTAAAAAGTTCTTTGGTTGAATGCCATTTACGGCAAGGTTAAAATTGATCTTTTGCTTGAAAATCAACCATGGATTAATTTTTTTTTAAAGGTCAAATTTCGAGTAGAAGAAAAATTTTAATCCTGCAGTAAATGGCATTTTTATTTCCTATCCGTTGACTTATGTTACGGCTGGTTTAAAAAATTGACTATATGACACTACTTTAATTACCTTATAACTTTTTACCAGAATAAAATATGATAATATTATTCGGATATTGACGAATTATAAAATTTCTGGTCTATCTATCTTCACAAAGGGTGTTTTCCGCATAACTTTACGTACATCTTACACCGTGCTCTCTTTACCAGAATGATAAAATCAGAGGCTGTAAAGTTACGTAGGTCGTGGTGGTAACGCCGCTTCAACTCGTGAGGTAATCTATACATTTCGGATCGGGTCAACTTACCGGTTGAGCTAACTACAGTAGAATTAGTAGAAGTAGAAGTAGACACGACATAAATAACACGCTGTTTGCTGTACCGCATTCCGCATTGCATCGCATCGTGTGGTCAGGCAGGGTCAGGGGCCCTATCCTCTAAGCGTGTCAGCACAACACAGAGATATCGTGATATAGAAAACGAAAACACATACAAAGCGTACTATCTTTTCTAAAAATACACTGCAACAAGCCCATTTCACAATTAAGTAGCAGGTAACAGCGGGTTAATTTAATTAGTGATTACAAATTCATACGTATATTTTAAAAAACTCAAAATTAACCAATACAACGTGTATTATTTCCTATGTATCCATCGTTTGCAATTATGCAGTATGCTTCTAACAAGTGTGAATCTTTTCTGTTAAGTACTTATTAATGCACGAAAATATAAACAATAATCATAACAGGAAATAGCTAATAAAGCATGGAAAAATAAACATTGAAAATTGTCATAAAAACTATGTGCATATAAAAACTGTAAAGTTAAGGTTATGGATCAGAAACTTACCAGACGATAGATTAGACCTTAGTATTTTTGTTTTGTTATTTTTACTAAAATAATATATTAATAGTACTATTACACTAAATAATAATATTTTGTGGATAAGGCTGATTTCTGTTTCAAAATTTAACAATTCAATCACCAACACAGTGTATGATATTACAGAATATTGTAACTATCTTATAATTTTTTCGCATGGCATTATGCATTGTGAATATTTTTTAAATTCATATCTTATTTACATATGCAGTCAAATGTTGTATTATCTGTCAAACTGACTCAAATGTATTTATTACTACTATTCGATCATTAAATACAGAACCAAGTACCTTAAAAAATTGTTATAATTCAACATCTCATTTGATCAGATAATTAATATTAATAGTAACTCGGAGATAAATTTGTGAACTCACGAACTCTTGCAATAAGTTTATCATAATAAAATATTTCTTTTCATCAAATTCTATTTAAAATTAAAACAGCCTTGTAAAAGTACAACAAAATTTTTTTATTAAAATAGTTAATTAATAGTTATTGATATACAAATTAGAAATTGCAATGTACGGTGTTATGACTAATGCATGTACAGAAAATATGAAAATGAAATGTGTCAATAACTCGATATAGAATTCGGTATTGAGACATACGACATACCTATTGTATTGGTAATGTCTCGAGCAATATAAAAAAAAGGCACCTTTTTTCTGAAGTACCAATTATAAATAACTACTACCATGTAAGAAAACATTGTGGTGCGCATGCGCACAAAACATTTGTTGCTGCTGTGTTACGTGTTAGTCTGTGTAGGTATATTATCTCACTGACGACTGACCGACACGCAGGACACGCTTAGTGGATAGGGCCCCAGGTGTGCGTGGTGTGGACGCAGTGGACGTGCGTGTATACTATGCAGGTTGTATATACTGCATCGAGTACCTGTAACTGCACGTGCATTTCTCTCCGGCTTTTTTTATCTCAGCTATGGATACTTATTTAAGTGTTCATTTTTTTTGTTGGAGATGACGTGCCTCGTCATATCTTTATTAATTGTTTTACAGCAGTGTATAATCGAATGAGCGAATTGTTTTGAAGAATTGCCATTCAAACTCCAGTGGTCTTCTTGGTGAGTACTTATATTTCATTTTCGTCTGGGTTCTGTTTACGATTTACTCTTCCTTTGTCAGAAAGTGAAAAACTTTCTCTCCAAGTAACCCAGAGGGGTATTGATTACTATGTACGTAGGGTGTAAAATTTTTCTCTTTTCGTTCGACAATGATGGACGACTCTGTATAGTAAAAAAGAACGTTTGGTTCTCGAGGACAAAGTAGTACTTACTAAACTTACTTCGAAAATTTTCACAATCTTTATTTTCCCAGAAATTTTGAATTGCTATGGTTTCATTACATTTTTTTTCTCTGCAATGATTGTACATTAATTTTCCGTCTACCGCAATGCAAACTACATTATCAAGCATTGAAAAATTTATGTATATTTTCAACGTAATTTCAAAAAGCCTTGCTGTTGCCACATATTTTACACGTATGTATGTACATTTCTGTGAAAACTCGTATCTCTAGCAATTAACGTTCGTTATCACTAAAATAGTTGTGTTCGGCCCAGCGACAAATAGCGATTCTCGGAGCGCTCCGAGGTACTTACTCCGCGTGCTGTAAAAATGTGTACATCTTTTGTAGCCGTGACTCTCTTTCATGTAATTAATTGTGTTGTACTTATATTTTTCAACAGCACGACTCACGAGAGTTCCGAGACAATTATTCCTTCAACGAGTACTCGATTGTAAAATAGTATTAACAAAATTTTTTTTTCGAATTGCTAAATTTCTCATTCTCTCAAAGTACTTGGAAAAAAGTTTCATTTTATTCATTCAAAAAAAAAAAATGTATTTAATTTAAACTATACCCAGCCCAAACGTGACTCAGTAGTAGAGCTCAGTATATAGTCACAACACTCAAAACTGCCTGCTGCTGAGTGTCTATATTTATATAGATATACACGCAGCACATTGCTATGCAACGTCACTCCCGGTTCTCGGTATCTATCTAATATGGATAAAATAAGTTGTAAATCATATTCACACCACGACAGGTAATTAAAATAAACATTTGAAAATCTTGCAATCCACGTGCGACCTGAGACTTTTCTACCTGAACCCCCTCATTAGTATATAATTTAAAATAATATTTTAAACAGTCCAATACCTTTTAAAATTTATAATACTTATTATTATTAGTTAAGTCGTGTACTGACCCTATACTTAATTTTTTAGGGTGGAAGAGCGAGAAGGCCCGCTAACGTTTTGGGAGTGGTTCTCCAAATTGTTTTGAGGACAGACGAATTGACGAATTATACATCGATTAGGAGCAAAACAAGTTAAAACATACACATTATTGCTTCAGCATTCTGCGAGCGTGTAATGTAACCTAATAAAAGCGGAGCTTTTTGAATGTACTTGTTACTATATTGTTTATCGGTGCAGAAATTCGTCTCTAACAAAGTGAAGTGAGGTAAGTTTTTCAATAATTTTTTAAAATTTGTGTTTATTTTCGCTATATCATTATTTCTTCGAGTCTCATGTTATGCTCTTTTTCTTTGTTCTGCAATACTACAGTCCTACAATTTCTAGAATGAAAATTGAGGAACCCTCAGTTATCAGAGTCGAGTAAGATTTTTTTTTTTGCAGATTATAGTTTGGAGCATTATGCTACTACCACTTTGGATTTAATCTCTGGAGCCTAGATTGTTTGTTCATTAAGAGAGCAATTTTTGTATCTATCTATCTACAGTGAACTATACGAGTATGTACTTGTCAGAAATTCTCAAACAATTGCATCTTACTGTTGAGTGTTCATGACTAATAACACACCATGTTTAAATTTAGGTATTCTTGTTACAAAAATGGGGGACAAAAATTGTTCACCTCCTCAGCAAGGCTTTAATGCCAAATTGATACCCCGTAGTGTTATGATTGAAAAAATGAGACAAGCTAACGAAAAAAAGAAATTAGTAAAAGAAAAAGAAGTAATTGAAAAAGCTCGAAATGAGGCAGCAGTTGATACACATAATCGTCTAGATTGTTTAAGTAGTTCATCTGATAGCAAGAAGATTTTTAGTAGATCTGTTTTACAGGAACAGCTTTTTGCATTGTCCATGTCACAAATGAAAGGTATGAATAATTCATCTTTTAACTTCGGATCCCATGACAATAAAGATTACAAAAAATTACTTAATTTCAGTACATCATCGTAACCATCAACATGCAAGTGATTTAAAAAATCGTCAGCATATGCAAGAAAAACAGAATTCCGCACATCATCAAAATAAAAACACAAGAAATAACAAAGAATATTCGAGAAAACAGAGTTCCAAAAATCTTGAAGACCGTCAGTCAAAATCAAGCTCAGAATCTCCTCAAACTTATTGCTCGAAAGAAAGTCATCAGCAAGATGTTCCAAGATCAAATTCATACCAATCAAGTAGTCGTCCATCTTACCGAGATAATCACATGAGCAGCAGATTTTCTCAAAATAATTGTAGACCTACACCGCGTCCAACACCATATTCTTTTTCACTTCCTAGTGGAATGTCAACTACAACAAAATTAGAATCAAAACCTGTGGATACTGAAATATCTTTCTCATTGTTACGTGACAGACCTTTGCCAGATCCAAAGGAATTGTCTCCTCAACGTCCTACAGAAATAAACTCGTCTTCAGATTCTACGCCAGATTCATTTAAGTCAGCTGTGGGAGAGCAGCAAGATCCAAAAATTTCCAGTAACTTTAAATCATCAATGCATTCACAATCCATTAGATCTTGTCGAAAAGCGTTATCAGCATCATCTGAAAAATATGACTCCCGTACCTACGGTTTGAAATCAGCTTCATCATTAAAAAATAAGTTATTTCAAGATACGATTGAAAAAAAATCTGATAGATCAGCTACTGATTTTTCGGAAGATACGAAACAAGATAAACCGTATTACAGGAAATTATTTAGATCTCCCGTCAGAAGGGAAAAACCAAGATTGAGACTTTCAATTGGCGTGTTTCCTGGTTCACCTGACTCAGAACCCAATCAATCGTCGTCCGAAAATTCATCTCCTCTGCAAGGTTGTAAGCTTAACCAAGAGATCTTAAAAAATATTTCTCCGTCTTCAGACAGCTCCAATCTTTCTCAGCCTGCATCTAAAAAATTATCATTTACTGATAAATTAAAATTAAACTATACTGCAAATTCATTTTTGCAAAAGTACAAATCAATGCAGCTTGACGTTACCAATTCATCTTCAGTTTCCGATGAATCAGATTTTACTCAATCTTTCCAGGCTAATACACCTGATTCCTCATATCTAAAGACAAATGAAAAAATTTCTGCAAAGCCATGCAATGAAATGTCATCCGATTCGGAATCTTCTGTACACTCGACCAATTTGAGCGATGTAGAAGAAGAATTACTTGCAAAAAAAACGAGTACTAGAGAAGGTTTACTCCATCTAAAAGCACCGGTAGGTAGCACTAAAAATCCAGATGATTTTTATCATAGTCATGGTGCAATGGAGCCCATAAATTGGAACGAGATTAGGAGCAATTTCAAGCCTTCTCCTGAAAATCATGAAAGAGTCATTCCCAGTAGAATTACAAAACCTAACGAATTGCTAGAAAAATATTCTACGGGCAAACCAGATGCTAATGTTGAATCTAAAGAATTCATTAATTTCGTAGACAATACAACCACTTACAAGACAATATTTGAAACTAAAGGTAACATAGAAGTAGAGCCGCGGGCAATTGATGACCCTATTGCCAAAATTCAAAGACTTATTAATTACGGTAGCATTTGGAATGTTTCTTATTTGCCCAAGGAGTTACAAGAAGTGTTCAAAAACAATTCACAGCAGTCGTCTAGTAACGTAACTGAAATAATTGATTACACCCAGAGTAGGAAGTCGTCCAAGTCCCTTCCTACCAAAACTGTTGAATCGGTACCAACAATGAAAGCAAAATATTCGGCCAAAAAGAATGTCTGCAGTGAAACCGCAAGGGCAACATACGAGACAATTGAGACGAAACGTGAATCTGATGAGATAACAGAATCTGGACCTATTGACCAAAATAATACGACACACTATACAGAATATACGGATGATATGTTCGATTTTGAGATTCCTAACTCTAATCATGACGTTTATCGAGTTAAACCAAACCAACCGATTGATTCACCTGATGTCATGATGAAAAAACCTATCCAAAGCCCACCATTCAACTCTAATGTTGATTCAGATGACACATTTTTGCTGAAAATTAGCGAATTGGATAGTTCATTGACTGCAAAAGATCCTCAGTCACCTGTAAAATTGAAAAATGTTGAAAATGAAGTTTTACAAAATAAGTTAGAAGTTCGGAAAAATTCCGTACCAAATTCTATCAATGATTCCCTTATTGATATAAAAAAACAACCATATGAAGTACCAAGTACTAGATATTGTAACAAATATGACAACGAATATTTTACTGATAAGGAATCTAATTCTGTTAATGGTGAAATAATTGATATAGTCAAAAAGCAACCAGTTGAAAAACGCAATACTAAATTTTATAATAAATTTGACGACGAATATTTGGCTGATGAGGAACCAATTCAAATACAAGAAATAATCATTCGAAAAAAGGAAACAGAAGAATTTTTGAAACCAGTATCCACACGATATTTCAAGAAAACGGTATCAGACAAACAAGACAACTATCCAAAAATCTCTCAGGTGTTCGAGAAAACTGATTCAAATCAATCAATTTCATCTAGTATTGAATCTGATGTTGAAAAAATCGAAGAAAAAGATGAGTCTGAAAAAATTGTTCTTGAAGTAGTCAAAGAAAAAGATGAGTTTAATGAAATCGTTCATGGAATAGTCGAAGAAATATATGAATCAGATGTCGTTCATGAAGTAATCAAAGAAAAAAATGAATCTGAAGAAATCGTATATGGAGTAGTTGAAAAAAAAGATGAATCTGAAGAAATCGTTCATGAAGTAGTCAAAGAAATACATGAATCTGAAGAAATCGTTCATGGAATAGTCGAAGAAAAAGATGAGTCTAAAGAAATTGTTCAAGGAGTAGTGGAAGAAAAAAAAGATTTGGAAGAAATCAATTGTGGAGTAGAGAACGTTAACTTGTATGAGTCAACGTTATTAACTGAACAAAAGTTAAATAATCTAGACGCACCTAAATCAACTATTGAGATAAAATGTGACGAAGAAGACGATTACTCCATAAAAAAGCGTAATCCAAAGCAAGAATTTTTTAATTATTTGGACAGTAACCCGAAAAGTAGCAGTGATAGCGATGTTGACAGCACAGATTTTTCCGAATCAAAATCATCGTCAGCCATTATCAAAGAGATAGAATTTGATTCTGAAATGGATAAAATTGACAAAGCCATAAATTTGGCTTCTGAACAAAAGTCAAAAAACGTTGCATCACTTAATGACTCCTTGAATACTTGGGAAGAAAAATACGCTACAGAAATTGAATCTGTAGATTCTGACGAAGAATTTGATTTTGTTAACTTTGAAAACTTCCCCGTGCTACAGCAACTTATGGGTAGTGTCAAAAATGTTCAAAATTCGTTTATTAATCAGATGACTAATCATCAAGAAAATGAAAATTTTGCGAATGTAAAAGCTATCGCAGATAAACGGTCGGTTCCGAGTTTATCGACTTTATTTGCTAAGAATAAAAACATTTTTGAGAACGTAAACCTTAACATAAACGACGTTCAAAAGAGCTTCTCAGAGTATAATAAATTATCAGTAATAAATGAAGACAAAAACATCTTAGAAGCTGAAACCAAAAGTGACTTAGAGCATCAGCAGATTAACGAAGCACCTGCTCGAGAGTCAAAAAAACAAAAAAATAAAATGGAATTGCTGAAAAAGATAAGCGCTGTAAAAGCTGCCCAAAAACAGAACGAGAGTTCAGAGTTGAATAGCACTTTTCTTGGCAAAATAAAAAAACTCAATTTGCCCTTTTTTTAACATTAAGCGCAAGCTAGAGATCTGTGTGAATGATCTATGAAGTTAAGTACCTTTTATTTTTATTATTCTTACCATTCATTTTATTATTGCTCTCAGATAATCGTTCGATTGTAACAATTAGGAGAAAAAAAAAAACGATAAAAAATAGATTATACGCTTGTGAGACAAATGATATTCTATTAGATTTTATTTATATTTCATTAATAGAAAGCATTGTTTATTAAGTATGATTCACTATACTTCTCGCATTTTATCCAAAGAAATGGCAATAAATGTATAAAGATTTTATATAAATCAATATTTTTTCGATATAGTTTTAGGTCAAACATTATTTTCATTCAGAATAATAGAGATTTTGTTAAGTAAATTATAGTTTCATTGGATTTTATTATTCAATATTAATTGCGATCGTGCTGACTAAAATCTGATGAACTATTATTTAAAAACTAATTAAAAATTAAATTTGTTAACATACAAGTTACATTAAGTATTTTTGTTGTCGTAAGTCAGATGAAAGTTTTTTTTTTTGTATTTTCTAGGAGTTTTTTCAGATTCAAATACAATTTTTTTAACAAATAAGAGACAAACGAAAGTTCGCTGAAATAATTTATTCCAAAAATTTTCACTACTGGTTACTTTCAAATCAAAATAAGTGAGCAGATGTACTGCTTTTCAAAAATTTTAATTCTAATACGTATCTACTTTTAATTAATGCTATGACATATGAACTGAAAATTTTGTGAAAGTTCAAGGATCAGTATATATTTAGAGAATAAGTATTGTACAATTTTTTAGTTAATAAGTATACTTATTTAATTATCAAAATAACCAAAATGTTACCATCAAATAAAGATATTACATATATAAATAAATAAATAGATGAATAAATATAAATATTTTTCTGTGGACCAGTTAAAAAAAAAGTTTATATAGTATAGTAAGATACACAATTTATATCAGAGAAATGTTGTCTATTTGTATGTAATAATTGTTATTAGATAAGCCAATATTACGAATAAAAATTTTGCAGATTTTCTATTACATAATTAGTAATTTCTTTTACCTTTTCATCAACTCGTAACACCATCTTCCCTTATTATTAAAAAAAAAATGTTTAGAAATCGAATTTACCGAATACCCAAGTCGCAAAATAAAATGTTACTATTAGCGCAAAAACAGATTCAAATGTCACTAGGAGTAGCAGACGACTGGTGTCTTTTTTCCCTAGTTCGGTTGGATAGTGAATCACTTACACGAGAGAGCTGTAGTATATTAGTATTTATTTAATTAATTACTACTATTTTTACGATAGTATTGCTAACGTTTTAATGTAAAAGTTGTTATAGTGTTATAAAGTTCCTAGTTTAAATCAAATTTTATAAAAATGGTAAGATGGTTTTATAAAAAAGGAACATCGTTTGATCTGTTAATATCTATTTTTGGTGTTCTATTCTTATGTTACCTTTTTTGGAATTAGTATTTACCAGCGTTGTTGAATACTTATTTAGTTGGAACTTTTCGCTTAATAGTACTTCAATTTTTTATTTAATCTCACAAGTAATAACTTTTAACAGTTAGTAATGTGTAGTAGGTTATTAAATTTATTTAATTGATTACTTAGGAAAATTCTTACCTTGAATAAATTTGTACCCTTTTAACGATTCAGCAAAATCCAGAAGAGGATACTGAGTGGAATGACATTCTCAGGGCAAAAGGAATCATTCCTGAAAAGAAAAAAGATGCAGAGGTTACTGAAGAACAACTAGTTCAGATGTTGGAAAATACAATCTGTGAAAAAACTGGAAAAGGTTTTAAAAAAATTTCTTTGCATTTTGGTACATTTTGTAACTATAAAGATTATGTTTTTTTTTTAGTACAAGTAAATTTAGAGGATAAAACTTTGGATGAGCTAGATGAACTTGAGGATGAGGAGGATGAGAGGATATTACTTGAGTATCGCAACAAGAGAATAGCTGAAATTCAGGAGTATGCCAAAAAAGCAAAGTATGGAGATGTCAGGGAGATATCTGCACAAGATTACGTTCTAGAAGTTAATCAAGCTGGCGAAGATGTTTGGGTGGTCTTGCATTTGTATAAATCCGGGTAAATAATCAGTATACTCCATAAACAGTTACACTTCAATTAGATACTGCTAATGTTTTCATTGAATTACACTTACATTAATGTTCTAAAGGATACCTTTGTGCACACTAGTCAACCAGCATTTGTCATCATTGGCAAAAAAATTTCCAATGACCAAGTTTTTAAAGAGTATATCAAATACATGCATTCCCAATTATCCTGATGCCAACTTGCCCACAATATTCATCTATAAGGATGGGAGTATGGAAAAACAGCTTGTTGGTCCTATTGAATTAAGAGGCATGAAGCTCACAGAGCCAGGTTTGTCTTTTATTATCATATAAAAACTGCATTTTTTTCAAAATTAGATACTAATTGATTTCTGAATCATATTTCTCAGAATTGGAATGGATGTTGGGAAAAGTTGGAGCTGTGCCCACAAAAATTAAAAACGATCCCAAGCCAAAGGTGCGAGATGTACTCTTTGCGAAATTGGGGGTGGACAAAGATTGCAATGACGATCTCTCTGATGATAATGACTGGTAGCCTGGGAAACATACCGTCATGCAGATTTTATTGAGTGTTATTGAAAAGAAAAATCAATTTTGTTTCCTAAAGTTTTAATCATAGCATTACGCTAATTGTTTCTGTACTAATAAAGTATTTGTTTTTGTATGTATACATTAACTCGATCTATTTAAAAGACTAAATAATTTTTTAAGTGACTTGAACATTTGCTAATGAAATAAAAAATCAATTTTCAATTGTAATTAAAGATTTTTCTTTTTTAATCTCATTTTCATCGACACATTTTATATCTGTATTATCCAATCAAATGAAAAAAAAAAAAAATATCCCACTTCTTCCTATGTGAAATGTACGTAATAATATATTTTGTAAACGAGCTGTAAGCCTGCATACTTAAAATAAGCAGTATTTATCGTATGTTTACATTGGGTGTTTTAAATACAACACATTGTATGTGTACACAATATTTGATGGCTCAATTTATTACATTTTAGAGCATTTAAGTACAATCCAATATAGTCGTAACTCAGCTCAGCAACAACTAGCAGACCTATAAATACAAGTAGCGTCTTTTGTTTTGAAAACGTGCGAGCAAATTCAAAATGTATACATGTATATACTGCGCTCACCAAAGTCGTGTGTGTTGTCGTGTTGTGTCCTTGTGTCCTTGATGTGGTCTCAACTTAAAACGCGTTCGTTGCTCACTTTGCGCGCGGAAAGGATAGGTGGCACGTAGCACACCACACAAAGCGCTTGCTAAATAAATTACATTTCATAGACATGTGATGATTAGGAATTGTTTCGCAATCCTGGATTTTGCTCGAAACATGGAGACGTGAGGGTCGAAGATATATTACCTCGTTTTTCACAATACAAGAGTTCATGCATACAACTGTTCCTCCAGACGACGTCGAGCAGGTAAGATGTTTTTTTTTCGTGCTTTGTGTATTATACACATTGTATGCAAGATGAAGGTCACATGAACACATATATATACAGTCCTTGCTAAATTGTTTCGTATGTGCTTGCCAAAGGGCTCCCGTAGTTTTGTTTTTCTTGGCGTTTAGACACGGAGATGTTCACATCTGTCACGCGCATTGTGTATCTTCTCCCTCTCGAATGTTGATGCATGTTTTGTTTTTTTTTTTTTTGTTTTTTTTTTTTTTTTTTAATAAATTACCCTACTGCAAAATTTGGGACCTATGTGGTGTGTGCATGTGATTACTTAGCAACTAAAGTACAAGTATGTCGGCGTGCGCGGTCTGCAGACGTCGCCCTGACCGGCCGTCGTCGGCCATTTGCATCAACAAGTGGTCGGTGATTGTGAATTTTACGATGTTTCCTGCAGTTTTTTTTATGTGTGCACCCCGATTTTTATCTCCTTTAATTTCAAAAATAAAATCCCGGCTCACCCTGTCTTTAAGATACTCCTATTCAGAGGTAGTGGTAAAAAAACGCATATCTTTGAATCGAATAAAAAGTTGACGATCCTACGATGAATTAATTACAGATATGGAGTTTCAAAATATTGGAATGTATGAGTGTAGAAACTCAATGAATTACTTCTCTGGAGGAACAGTTTATGATACGTCAGTTATTTACGAGAATCCGGTTTGTACCAACACGAATTTCACGAGTCTCCAGATTAATAGACAAAATGAATTCCCGATCGATTCCATCACTCATCTCGATGATGATGAGTTCAATAATCATGTTGATTCAAATGTTACCCGTCATGTTGGTCCTCAAATGACCAATACTCTCACGAGAACAGAGAAGTTTGAATCTTTACCATATCATTCTAGTCAGAACAATCGAGCTAACGTTTCAAACTTTTTTGACCCAGTCTCGGGTAATTTTAACCATCAAATTGGTAATTATTTCAATGGCTCGCTATCCTTGCCCAATGCTATCAATAACTTTGCGAATCGTAGCTTGTCAGTGGACGTAAATACAACTGATGAAGAAGGAAGAGAAGTTTTTTCTCAATCATCTTCTTTACCTTCTACCGTATCCATCTTAAACTCATCCAGTGATAGCAGTTGGCAAGAAAGCAATGAGTCTTTCACTGCTAGTCCATCCACCACTGCGAGGTCTTTGTCCAACTCCAGACTTACACATAGGAGAAAACAAACCCACGTTATCATAGACGATTATTCCCTTGAAATGCCAAATGAAGATAATGGTACTGCAAGTTATGAAACTAAGGGGGATGCATTTTCGTGTGAAAATGACAAGCGATTTGGACAAATAAAGATGAAAAGTATCTTAAAAAGCAGGAAACCTATTTATAATAATAGTAACAATAATAATAATGATGATGATGATTATGTTCATCATAGAAATTTGTTTAGCTCTAACAGTAAGTTGTGTTCGAACGACAAAAGAAGTACTGCAAGTTCCAGTATGAATTTCAGTATGGAAAAAATCAGTAATAACTTGCCAGTCAGTACACCTTTCAACTCACTGCAAATTGGCACAGAGTTTACGCAACCAAATTATTTGGATTATGTGCCACCATTTGAAAAAATTGATACTAACACGGAAAAGTTGATTACTCCAAATATTAATCTGAGTGCATATCAAATTGCCAAGGCTTCTCAAGTAAAACTTGCGCAAGCGAAACAAGTAGACCATAGTGGGATAGATATTAGTTTTCCCAATGAAAATGGCAATTTATCAACTTCTGAGATTGCAGAAAAAGCACTTTGCTTAAAATCTGCATATTATTCTGAAAAGTTTGACTATGATAATATTTTCAATACATCCAATGAAGCTATAATAAATGAAGTATTTTTTGATGAAACTTCAGCATATAAAGGAATCGAGCTGGATCTCAGTTTTCGAATCGATAAAGTGCGCGTGGAACCTTACCAGCTTCCACACAAGGCTTTCAATTCAGTGTCATTGATGGAAAGTTTGGACGAATTGAAGCGCTTTGGAGGAATCACAGGAGAAAACGGTACCGAAAAGAAATATTATAAAATTCCATTTGCCAATTGTGAATCCGTTGAAACTTACGGAGACAGTAGATATAATCAACAGAAGCTGTACCAATGCACAAATATTGTAAATTTGAGTAGTACTTGTGAGTCAGATGATCCATCAAGCGAAGAAACTGTTACAAGTTCAGAAACTGAAAACAATCAACCTTTGCTATCTTTGAAAATCAAAATCAAACGAATCGCCAATAACAAAAAGAACAAATTTGTTATTGATAATTCAATTGAACCATATGTGTACGTTAATGATAGAAAGATTATGAATAAAGCTAATAGGAATACGCAGAGGTAAAAATTTACAACTAATGGATTCGATTGTAATTGTAATTTAGGATAAGAATAATAAGTATAATAACTACTTTCAGGTATCAATGCGCCGACTGCTTGGAAAAATTTAGAACCAAGAAGTTGTTGATAAGCCATGTTTCTGCATATCATAAAGGTGAGACTTTACAAATAACGAATGAGTCAAAGTTGTATAAAATATATTTTCTATCAAGGGCCATATGACACCGAGTGCGATGTCTGTCATATGAAATTCAAAAGAAGCTCTGCGCACAAGCCACACCTGCCTTGGTGTGAGAGATACAAGAAATTCAAATGTGATTTGTGCTCCAAAGAGTATTGGTAAGAATAATTTTTTTTTTTTTTTTTGTAATAATTAGGTTTTTATTTTCATTTGATGATTAAAAAAAGAAATGTATTATTTTAGTTATAATGCTTCTCTTCAAAAGCATTTAAAAACCCATGAAAAATTATTCAATACCGAGTCATACTTTGACCAGAAGCCAATGGATTATTTAACATTATACAATATTACTGAGTATTGATAGGTAAGCCACAAAATTTATGGTATGAATAAATTTTAGACTACGAGAAGATTTATTCAAGTTACTTAACAAACTAAGGTCTAAGTAAGAGCCTGATGAATCAAAGAAAAAATACACTCAAGTTGTTAAGAGGCACATTGGTTAAGGATAGCACATTATCTTGAAAGCTAGGACAAAAAATTACTCACCGCGGGTCAAACATCTGGATTAAATTTTTTTAACGTTTTTATTTTAATCTTATATTACCATTAAAAATTTTATCAAGCCATTTACAGAAAATAACCCGGTTAAAAGCATAATGTTATTTTTATCTTGAAATTTCAAAAATTTTTGCTAAACGTCACTACAAGTATTATAATTTTTTAATTATATTAATTCAAGCTAGATCTGAAAAATCTTTAATTTTTGAAGTTTTTCAAGATCTACTTTTATTTTCACGTTGGTATACAGTTTTAATACAACTTTTTATACTCATTTTGTAGTTTCTTTATTCTTTTGATAATCTCAAGTTTGACAAGTTTTTATTTCACAGAGTTTAGAAGTATTTATAAAAGTACAATAATTGTACTGAATAAAAAATACGTATCAAATCATGAAACATGAAAAAGTTGCTCTTTTATAAAGATAATTTTAGTAACGAGTCTCATAAATGTGCCATTAAATTATGCTTTAGGTGCCAATTTTAGAATTTATAAATGTTGAAGGTTTATTTTGTAAAAATTACTTTCAAAGATTAAAATTTAAGAGCCTAAACTAAATAAATAATGATAATATGTACCAAATCTTACGAAAAATCACCATTTAGCATAAAAAAAGCTCAGATCTCACGTATATTTATAAGTGTAATTTTTTTCAATGCTACATTGTATTTTGCAACTAGAATATTTTTTAGCAAACATTATAAAATGTTAATTGAACAAAATGTTAATAAAAAAAAAAAAAAAAAAAAAATCAAATGACAGCCATTTATTTCATATTGCCTTATAAAGTTGCAACCAGACGAGTCACCACTTGAAATTATCTTCCCAAGTTGATGAGTATGTACAAAAAAAAAAGGTTTATCACTGAGACCATTAGTTAAGTTGTACAAGAGAAAAAAGAATTACGCTCTCGAAGTACTTGGATGAAAAAAAAATTACAGGCAACAGTTGGAACCAACGAAAACGATGGTGAGTTGTGATAATGAAAATTCATTGTCTTGTCAACAATGCGCAGTTACATGGCCCAAGTCTAGGGTATCTTATAATTTAATCAAAACGGAGGCATGGGTGGGTACTTATATATGAGATCAGCTACTTGTACATATCTTATTCTCGATTTATCACTCAAAGCGTATATAATATGCATGATAGCAATGCACCTACATAAATATACACTCGCTAGGGATATCTATGCACACGTGAAGGGGAATAGTAGAGCAAATTAATGCCGATTCGCTACCGATACCGATCAAAAAAGTGATTTAAAAAAAAAACTTTTCGATTTTTTTTGTATTTCCTTTGTAGAATTGAAATTCATGTGGCGATAACATTTGGCACAGCGTCTCTAACAGTTGAATCATCGGAAGGTATTTTTTTTTAAATTCTTTCAGCGTGAATTGTTTTGACCACCAGATAGTTCACAAAAACACCAAACCACGTATACCACTCTCGGACTAAAAGTTCATCGACCAAACAATGTATTGCGAAAAAAATATTTTTAGCCCAGCATTTCCCTGCATGCCCACCTCTTACAAACGCAGTTGTCCTTGAGCTGCTTACAATTTCGCGAGACTCAACCATCGGATCCAACATAAATGTACTACAATTGGTTGTACTGATCGAGGTACTAAATACTTTTTCCTATTCACCGTTTATCAAGGTATCATATATATTTACAATAACACGATTGAAGACGCTCACATCGTATACAAATCACACATATGGGCCATTTAATATGTACACTGAGAGAAAACAAATGATAAAAAATTATAGAGAAAGTACCAATTTTTAACAGTCAATCGGATGCAAGGTGTCAAAAAAAGAAAAAAGTTATCATTTTTAACAGTAAAAATGATTGATTTAACAGTTAAAATTGATATGTTGAAACAGGAAATCTTGAAAGGATCGGTTGATAAATCTTACTTTCCCGCGTTTAGAAAGTTTTACTGTTCGAATGATAACTTTTTCCTTTTTTTGCCACCTTGCATCCGATTGACTGTTAAAAATTGGGAATTTCTCTAGTCACGCGCGCGCACGCGAGGAGTAAGTACGCAGTTAATATTGTATAATAAAGTGCCCTCAAAAATCTGGAAAAGCTTAACGAATCGAGAGGCTCGAGAGAGTCATGGTTACACGTGGTTGACGAAAGTATGTACTGGAAAATAATGAATCGGAAAGTATAGAGAGGAGTTAGGAGCGCGCTCTCTCTCTCATTTCTCTCTCCTTTGTTGCGATCGAAGCAGACTAATGAATTGGATGAACAAGCGCTAGGAGTATGTATAATCGACGGCTACAGGTATACACACACGTACGTATATTGTATCGATTGATACGCTGATCTATCGTTCTCTCGACAAGTACCTACCGTATACACCACCTATATATACACACACGAGTGTATTATCCTTATCACTGAAAACTGGCTCTTCTCCGGCGCCCCCGATTTCATCTATACTTTGGCTTGTGTCGATATTTATACTATTACGGATACTTCGGTACCTGACCGACTTAGAGAGAGGAAAAAAAAAAAAAAAAATAAATAAAAAATTGTACACGTATTATTGACATGAAAAATTAGTCGAGGAAAAAAACAAGGCATTCTCGGGCAGTGTGATTTTCCTCCCCGGTGCATGGTCCGTTTGACATGGAAGTAAGGAAAAGTTGAAAATATATACACTGATGTGTATACCTTCGATCCTTCTCTCATTATCGGTACCAAAAAAACAACACATATAACATAAAGTATTAAATCTTAGATCGTTCAACAAGTGGATTTTAAAAATGCCAGAGACGGAGCAAAGGATATATAGTTACTCACCTCTCATTCATTTGATCTCAAAATACGCCAATCCTCGTACAACCCCTCCTCTCGGGTGCTTCATGCAGTTTTTGTACTGGATTTCAACGATAGCAACAAAAAAAAAAAATTAACGATCTCTCTCCCCCTCCCCCCTCGTGCCAAATAGCTCACTTTTATCGTTCCAATTTCCCATGTATGTATTAGTTAGCCGTACGTCATCGGTTGCACATACGCAGGCATACGGACGTGCGCCGCAAAAGTCCCAGTCGTATCTTGCCTCGGTTTCCTCCCAGCTTCGCCCCCATCGACCCCACAAACGTGGCATCAAAAGCCAAAACCCTCGACCGCCCCATCCGAGAGAAAGGCACATCCCCGTACGTGGTCCATCCGACTCCATCTGGCGGCTGGCTCCACGGAGAGACGTGCATGCACACACACACACACACGTTTGCGCGCCGGCTCCAGAGCCGTGGGAGCCTGGAGAGGGTCGGGGGCGGCCAGCTATATAGCCGATGCGGGAGATAACCCAGCGAGCGAGCGGTGCGCCAGTAGTCGCCCAGTCGTTGCCGCGGGCGTAGACCCGGACAAAAGTGAGAGAGAGAGAGAGAGACACGGGCGAGATCATCATCATAAATCCGGGTGGTGGGTCCGCGTTGCGCTTCCTCGTCTTGCTGTACTCTTTGTAGCCCCCTTCGGAGCGGCATGTAAGACATCAGAGCCGCCCAAGCGCCCCGGGAAGGACCCCGTGCCATCTTCCCGATAGTATAACACTGTGTGTGTGTGTACCCTCCGGCTGGTATAGCCCCGGCAACGTAAAACTCGGTGCCCGTGTGAGCGCGCCTCTTCACCCGGGATTGCTCGGGGAAGGAGCACTTGATGCTTACTTCGTAAAACGTGGCAGAAACAAACGACAAAAAAACTCGGCTGCATACACGACGGATTGTTCGGCGGGGGGTGTGTGTTTGTGCGCGCGTGTGCCAGAGCAGTGCCGGGGAATCTGGAAAAGAAAGTGCACCCGCACCTGCAGCATCCTCGGCACCCCGATCCCTCCCTCCCACCCACTCAAATAAATAAATAAATAAATAAATAAATATACACACACACTCGCGTGTCATAAATCGTCAGCGTGCGCGTGTGCGTCGTGTATTCACAATATATACATGTGTACACGTATCGCGTGACACGGTGTACGCGCGCACGAGCACACTCTTGGATCCACCTCCGCCTTCTCCTCTCTCCGCGAGCCAGCGTCCTCCCCTCGGTCCAGCTCTCCTCCGCCGGTGCATGCCCCGTCAGTGATGGTGCGTTGAGTATCCAAGAGGAGCAGGGAGTTTGTGCGCGTAAAGCATCCCTTGCCCAATTGTTGCTCGGCCGAGGAGGACAAGGGAAAGAGGGAGCCCATGTGGACGTCGGGTCGAAGGGGTCGCGGTGGCGCGCAACCTCGCCGGGATGATAGCTGAGGTGGCGAGGGGGACCGATCCTGGCGTTGCTCGTCGTCCCTGCAGGTGCTGCCACGGCGGAGCTGTCGTCGACCGGGTGGCCAGGTAAGGCGGCTCGGACGCTGACTCGTACTACTGAATTTTCGGTGCGTGCGGTGGAATAAAAAAAAAAAAATGGTTTTTCCTTTCCTTGGTTCGTGTATCTGCATTGGGTGTGTACAGGGTGGATTCAACGGGGAGAGGAGAGATGGAAAGCTGTGCTGTGTTGTGGGTTCGATGGGAATACGGGGGCTACATATACAGGAGTTGTGCGTAACTCCTCGTCGTAGGAGGAGGCTGCGCACACGGGAAGGAGGACGTGCTCGGACGTCCGCTCGTGTCTATATATATATATATACTTTGGTTAAGGTGAGAGGCTTTTGGCTTTTGAGGGATTGTTCGACGGGTGCATATTCGTAGCTCAACCTTTTTTTTTTTTTTTTTTTTTCGCTTGGGGCTCGAAAAAAAAAATCGATATCACCTCCTCCCCCCCCATGTACTTCCTTCTCATTGAATCGACAAACTCTCTCCGTGGTGAATTCACTTCGACAACATTTTTATTTGGTTACATTTACGCATAATAGGCTTCGCAACTTTTTCTATTTTCGTTTAATAAATAAGCGCATGAGCCTTTTTTTTTCACAGCCAAGATCGTGCAAGGGCAGATGAGTTTTTGTGCTATTTTTTGTCTTCTCTTTTTGCTGGAATTCAACTCTGCAAATGCAATGTGACTGTAAAAAACCATCCTCGCCGGTGACAGTATTACAAAGGAGCTCGATGTTTTTGTCGGCAACACTCGGGCTTGGGCCGCAAAAGGAAAAACAAACCATGCGATACCAGAGCGTTGGGAAGCG